CTTAAAGGTGAAGCATAAACCCACGCTTGGCTTTGTCTTGGAGGCAGGATCTAGGAGACTGCAGTGGTGTTGCTTGGAGGAAGGCTGGGGCCCTGCAGGCATCGCCAGACCTTAAATGGCATTGCGTCTACCCTCCCCTCCCCCAATCCTTCCCACCCAACCCAGCTGCTCTGCTGAGGGCCATGCAGTGAGTAATGGGACTGTGATGAGAGAGCAGCCTGCACTGGCATTAGGGCCTGGAGTCCACACGAACCGGGTGCCCTGGAGGAGGCTGAGGGGGGAAAGGTGTGTAAGGAGTAGGATTACTGGTTCTCAGAAAGGCAGGTCTGGTTACAATTGTCTCAATTCTGACAGGTTGGCGTGACCTTTGAGGACATTGCCCTGTACTTCTCCAGGGAGGAATGGAGCCTCCTTGATGAGGGTCAGAGACAGCTGTACCTGAATGTGATGCTGGAGAACTTTGAACTTATATCCTCGCAGGGTAAGACCAGTGACCTGGGCTTGGCTTTGCCATTTCCCAGGCCCCATCCCCCAGGGTGTGCTCTGTCCTCCCATGTAGACTGTGGAACTGATTGATTTTCCAGTTTCTGGGGTAGTTGCTGTCCTGTGGAGGGTTGGTCTGTTTCCACTGCTGCCTTCTATTCCTGAAGTCCCAATAGTCCCCCCTGCACTAACTTCACAGGGAAGGACCTTTGGTTGGTAGTGTGATTGGAAGCCTAAGGAATTCCACCTTGATCAGTGAGGAAAGCGTTTTCTATATTCATGTTGGACATTTGTACCTATTTTTTGACGAATTGTCTCTACATCCTTATCCTGTTTATTAACTATATTTTGGTTAAAGAGTCTTTTGAATACTTTGTATATTTTATATATTAATTGCTTACTAAATACAGGAGCACAGATTTTTGCATGTGCTTAATTGTTCTTTGCAAGTATTGCTCCCCACACTCCTTTTTTAAAAACAATATATTTCTTTATTGATTTCAGAGAGGAAGGGAGAGGGAGAGAGATAGAAACATCAATGATGAGAGAGAATCACTGATCGGCTGCCTCCCGCACGCCCCCCCACTGGGGATTGGGCCCACAACCTGGGCATGTGCCCCTGGCCGGAACCGAACCTGGGACCCCTCAGTCTGCAGGCCAACGCTCTATCCACTGAGCCAAACCGGCCAGGGCCCCACACTCCTTTTTTTTTTTTTTTTATAAATTCCATGTTTTTGGCAACGGTGTAGTTGGCAGGTCCAGTGCCATCATTTTTCTAGGAAGCTCAGATGCTTGTTACAAGTGGTTAGCAATAAAGTATTTTTTTAACCTTTAACACATGATTTTTATTGAACATGTATAGGGTTCACCTTTACATTTTATTACAAACTAGAGGCCTGATGCACGAAAATCATGCAAGGGTAGG